GTCCGTGTCGCTGTGGTGATGGTAAGTCGATTTCCTTTGACGTCTCTATGCCTGAAAAGTATAGTAGAAAAAAAATTTAAACACTTGTACTGAAGACTTAGTAATTGCATAAGCGGGGGTGGTGTGTACTATAATATCACATACCCTACTAAGGGGATTATTTCTCTTCCTCGCACTCCGAGATATGAAATCAACTCGTGAGTTGCTGCGTAATCGTACCTGTTAAATGGAATGACTTTATCATGTTAGTGTGAATATACAATAGCATGCGTGTGATATCTTTTAGTGGAAGTAGTGTTACCCTTGGCGATGTGGTATGGAGTATCTTCGCTTTTAGGGTCAGTGATGAGTAGTAGGTATTCCCTCGTAATTGACTCTCCATCTATAAGAAGGTGATGAAAACTGAGTATGGAATGTCGATGTAAGTAATATTACTAGCCCCTCAGTTTGGGTGGGTCTTTTACGCACCTCGTTATGGAATAGAATCTTCCCAAGAGTGTAGAGACGGTTTTTGCAAGACGAGTGACGTGAAAGGTCGCGAAGCCTATAGGGGTAATGGTTTGTAGGCAACTTTTGTATCAGGAGTACAAGGATGGTAACTTAAACAGTTTGAAGTAATGTGAATTTATACCTCAAGCGTAGAACCTTTTGAGATTCCTTATATTCCAGGTTCTGGGTATCGGGTGTCCGTCAAGGTTCTCGAGACGATATGCTCCACTGTTCACCACTTTTGTGATTTTATATGGTCATTCCCACTTCGGGTCGAGTTTACCTATTGGGCGTGAGGCATCGGCTTCGCGGAGAACTAAATCTTCTATTTGGAAAGAGCGAAGGCGGACTTTGGATTTATAAGTTTTCGCCATGCGACTCTTGTACATTTGTTGTCGGATAGAGGCGATCTTTCTTAGTTCATCGACGAGATCAAGATTAGCTCTCATTGATTCATCATTTTCCTCTGAAGAATAATTGATGACTCTCCAAGAGGGTTCGCCAATCTCGACGGGTGCTACAGCCTCTGTTCCGAAAGCTAGGTTAAATGGAGATTCCCCTGTTGCTGTTCGTGGGGTTGTTCGATATGCCCACAGAGCATTGGGTAATTCTTCAACCCATTTTCCCTTGGCACTTCCAAGCCTTGTCTTGAGATGTTGAAGTATCGTGCGATTAGTTACTTCAGTTTGACCATTTGCTTGGGGGTTGGCAACCGAAGTAAAGGATTGCTTAATAGATCAGCCAAGGCACCAATTCTTTACTTTGTCTCCACATAATTGGGTTCCATTGTCAGAAAAATGGAACGGGGGATCCCAAAGCGGCACACGATGTTCTTCTAGAGGAATTGGATGATGTCTTCCTCTCGAATGCGAGCTAGAGGTTCTGCTTCCACCCACTTGGTGAAGTAATCTACAACTACAATGAGGAACTTGCGTCCTCCTGTTGCTGGTAGAAAAGGACCGACCAAGTCAACTCCCTATTGAGTGAAAGGTATGGGACTGTCAATCGGTTGCATCAGTGCTGCTGGGAGATGAAGGATGTTGGCGTGTTCTTGGCAAGGCTTACATCTATGTACTAGTCTTTTCGCATCTTCATGCATGGTGGGCCAATAGTAACCTTGTCTCAATATTTTGAGAGCTAAGTTTCTTCCACTTAAGTGATTAACGCAAATACCTTCATGTACTTCCCATAGCACATAGTATGCTGGTGATGGGTTAAGGCACTTAAGATAGGGGAAAGAGAACCCTCGCTTGTAGAGATCTTCACCTACCATTAGGAAACTAGCCGCTCTTATCTTTATTTTCTTCGCTTGGAAGATGTCAGTCGGAAGTTCGCCGCTTTTGATATAGTTTGTAATGGGGGTAATCCAACAGGGTTCGTTCTCTTCAGCGCAATTCACTCCGTCGGTGGAGACCATTTCTGGTTGGGAAGCCGTGAGGAGGGTGATTTTCCGGCTTCCAATGCTTGCCATGGAACTACCAATTCTAGCCAACTTGTCTGCATCAATATTATTGGCTCGTGGGATTTGCTTTATCTCATAACTATCCAATTTTGAGAGGAGGGTAAGTGCAAGAACAAGATACTTTGCCATGGATTATTCTTTGGCCTCATAGGTCCCAAGGACTTGGTTGACTACTAACTGGGAGTCGCTATGTATTATGAGTTTGCGAGCTCCAGCATCTAAAGCAAGGCGGATACCAGCGATCAAAGCTTCATATTCGGCTTCGTTATTGGAGGCTTTGAAATCAAATCGTTGAGCATACTCGAATTCGTCACCATCTGGGCTTGTTAATACAATACCCCCGCCTTCTCGTGTAGTGGTAGAGGATCCATCGAAATTGACGGTCCAAGTGGGTATGGAGGTGCTCTCCTCCGATGTAGTCGTCTCTACTACAAAGTCCTCCAAAATTTGAGCTTTGATGGCTGGGCGTGGTTTGAATTCGACCCCATATTCGCTTAACTCTATAGCCCATTTAGCTAGTCGTCCGAAAGTTTCGGGACTTCTCAATATTTGTTTAAGGGGATAGTTGGTGAGAACTATCACCTGATGCGATTGGAAGTACGGACGTAACTTTCTGGCTGCATTGATGAGGGCGAGAGCAAGTTTCTCCATGTTGGTATAGCGGTGCTTTGAGCCTTGAAGAGCTCGGCTTATGTAATATATTGGTTGGTGACCTTTTTCACCGTCCCGAATGAGCACTGCGCTAATGGCATCAGCAGAAATAGCCAAATATAGGAAGAGGGTATCTCCTGGCTGGGGCTTCGTTAACAGATGCGGGGAAGTAATATATGCTTTCAATTATGTGAAAGCTCTTTGGCAATCCTCATTCCATTCAAACTTGTGCCCATCTCTTAATACCTTGAAGAAAGGAAGGCCTTTATCAGCTGATCGGGATATAAATCTGTTTAGGGCTGCCAAACAACCGCTAAGTTGTTGGACCTTCTTGATCGATGTGGGAGGGGCCATGGAGGTGATAGCTTCAATCTTTGCCGGGTTGGCTTCAATTCCTCGTTGTGATATCATGTACCCTAAGAATTTTCCGCCTCGAACTCCGAAAGAACATTTTAGGGGATTGAGCTTCATTTTGTATTTACGTAAGATGGAGAAGCATTGACTTAAATCGGTTAGGTGATTCGCGACTTTAATACTCTTGACGAGCATGTCATCAATGTATACTTCCATGTTCTTATCAATCAAGTCTGCGAACATCATGTTCACTAGGCGTTGGTAAGTAGCTCATGCATTCTTGAGACCGAACGGCATGACTTGATAGCAGTAGATGCCTTGGTTTGTAATGAAGCTAGCTCTCTCTTGGTCTTCTGGGGCGAGCAATATTTGGTTGTATCCTTGATATGCATCAAGGAAGCTGAGATGTTCGCACCCTGAGGTTGAGTCTATGAGCTGGTCGATCCTTGGTAAAGGAAAAGGGTCCTTGGGGCATGCCTTGTTGAGGTCGGTGAAGTCTTCACATAGCCTGCACTTGCCTCCGGGATTAGGTACTAATACAACATTGGATAACCAGTCGGGATACTGAACCGATCTAATGTGGCCTGCATCTAAGAGTTTTGCAACTTCCTCTTTGATATGTTTGTTGCGCTCAGGACCAAAAGTCCTTTTACGTTGCTTGACTGGTCTCAATCTTTTGACAATGTTTAGTCGATGCAATGCTACTTTGGGAGGAATTCCCGTTAGATCTTGAGCTTTCCAAGAAAACATATCCCCATTGTGTCTAAGGAAGTTAACTAACTGATTCTCCACTTCTTGATCTAGATCAGATCCGATGCGGAGAAGCTTAGAATTATCTCCGGGTATGAGTTCTACTGATTTTAGCTCTTCAACAGCTGCTAGCTTGGTGGCGTCGTCAGGGACGCTGATTAAGATTTCTTTATCAGCTTCGATGACCGCGTTGACCCATTTTCCTTTATCGTGCCTCAGTGTCTCGTCTCCTCTCCCTAAAGGATTAGGTTTCTTAGATGGCTCACGTAGAGCTCTTGCATAACATTCTCGGGCGAGACGTCTATCTCCAAGTACCTCTCCCATTCCGTATGGAGTGGGGAATTTCCACTTTTGGTGGTAAGATGAAGGCACTGACTTGAATGTATGGATCGGTGGCCTCCCTAGGATGATGATGTTATAAGGGGATGGTTTGTCGACGATGAGGAATTTTATCATCTTCGTAATTCGACAAGGATTGTCCCCTAAGGAGATGGGTAACTCCACTTCCCCCATGGATAAAACGCCCTCTCCCGTGAATCCTTTTAATGGTGTAGTGATGGGGCTAAACCGGGCATTATCTATACCTAGCTGCTTGAAAGTGTGGAGATACATGATGTCGGCTGAGCTCCCACCGTCCACTAATATCTTCTTAACCAAGAAGTTGGCCACCGACGCTGTGATTACCAATGCATCGACATGATCTTCATCTGGACCTTCAAGGTCCGAGGAGTTGAAGACTATGCTATGATTAGGTCTTCGTATCTGATAGATAGATGCGGATGGAGAGGCGTGCTCTTGATTCATATGTGCTGACCGAGCGAGGGAGCATCTCGTATTTTGTGAGTCGCCACCCGCTGGTCCTCCGGAGATAAAGGCAATGACTCCCCGGGTGGGTTGGTTATCATTGTTATCTTGTTCTCTCCGATGACCCACCTCCTCTCGTCGTTGCAGTTGATCTAGATTGTTATCTCGGCATGGGACGTCATCACGGCGCTTGTTTCGAGGCTTGTCGATATATTCGCCTAAGTGACCCTGCTTGATCAACTTCTCAATTACTACTTTGAGTTATGCACATTCCTCGGTAGTATGTCCTCTATCCTTATGGAATCGACAGTAGCGATCCGATTTTTCTCGTTTCGCATTTGGCTGCATTGGGCGTGGAGGTTCTGCTAGACCTCTTTGTTCTATCACATGAAGGATTTCTGTGAGGCAAGTTTTTAGCGGAGTGAACCGATTGTAGGAGAAAGATGATTGGCCTCGAGGCGGGAGTGGTGGATGTCGATCATATCGTCTTCTAACGTTGTCGGTCATGTTCCCTCTTTCTCTTGGGAGGAGCATAGGTAGAGGCTTCCTCTATTCGAACATATTTCTCGGCTCGGTTCAGCAATTCTTCTAGGTTGTCTGGAGGCCTTCCGGCAATAGATTCTTTAAACCTACCCGGCTTCAAGTTTTGTTGCATGATCCCGGAGAGCATGTCTTGTCCTACGCTTGGGACTTCGTGGACGGCTTCCACAAAATGCTTGATGTAGTTGCGGAGCGTTTCGTTGTCTCTCTGTACTACAGAGAAAAGGTGGGTTGGGGTCTTGGCATACTGTTTGTTGATGGCGAATTGACTGGTGAAACGTGTTGACAATCGAGCGAAGGTGTCGATCGATCCTGTAGGTAGAAAGTTGTGGATCGGTGGTCCCTTCAAATTGAGGTAACCCCGAGATCTTCACTCCTTGAGGTAATACCTAGTTGAGGATGTCCATGGTGAAAGGACTGCGTCTTACTGGGGCGGGCATTCTTCCGCCAATTGGATTGTTCAATTGGTGGAATGAAATTTGGCGAGACATTCTGCTGTTTACCTCGCCTTCTCACTCATTAAAGAGAGGGACTCTCTGTGGAGACGCATTCCCCCGTGGGGGTGAGCGCTGACGTTGTTGTCTGGGTTGCGCCCCTCTGTGATTGGTGGATAGTTGCACTCGGGACCGTGGGTCCGAGGTGGAGGAGCAGACACTTATTTGATTCTGGACTCGCGGTGGTGCCATAGGTGGCACCACAGGTGGAGCAGGTGCTGGTATCGCGTTGGGAGCATTTGCTCCCATCGTGGCGATATATTGGGTCACGGCCTCTGTGGCGGCGCGAGTTGAGGCTTCTGCTATCATGCGTTGGAGCGCATCCTCGGTTATCTGAACCGTTCGGGGAGCAGGGAGTGGCAGATCGGCGAGTGGTGGGTCCCGAGGGGGGATCACTTGAACCTCGCGAGGTGGATCCGGAGCACGTGGACGAGGTGGTAAGCCAGAGCCTCCGCGGATTGGGAGGTTGTTAGCTGTGTCATTTTCTCTCCGAGTGGATGCCTCAGGAGGATCTTGCTGGCTACGTGATCTGGTTTGCATTTTCCAACAGACGGCGCCAAAATGATGATCCTAGTTATTTAAATCAGCTGGGGTAGGGTAGAAAACGAGCTAGGAGAGCAAAGCGAATCAGTAGCTTAACAATTTGATGATCCTGAGGTCCCTGCGAAATGAACACACGTGAACTAAGCCGGGGGTTGATCCGGCGGAAACCCCTCCAACGCTCAAGTCAGATGTACAGATCGTAGAGATAGTGGAGAGAATAAAACTCTAGATTACTTGTGAATAATAGAACGTACCTTAACAAATGAGTAAAATCCTCTATTTATACGTGTTGATTGGGTTGGGTTCACTTTGTTAGGCCCAAACCTTATTTTAAAGGTGTTTGGGTCTTCGTGTATTGGGCCCAATTATTAGATAAACTGGGGGTCCATTGGGTCGGATCAATTAGGTATATCATTAAGCCCCCCAACTCTCGAGTCGAGGTGGGAGACTTGTCGAGGGGATTCCGGATCGTGTGGAGAGTTAAATGTGACGTGGTTTTTCGGGTCGTAATTTGTAATTAAACAGCTTCGGAGCCCCCTTTTTTTTTGTATTTATTTGGCAACAAGATATGTATTTAAGGTTTTTAAATAATACATCAGGGCCAAATAAATAGAATCCTGCAGCGGTGGAGAGAATTAATTTGCAATCTTTGTGAAGAATAAATATGGGTAAGTAGTTTTAATTTTTTTTGGTCTTCTTCTATGCTCTTCCTTCTTTATTGTTTGCGGTAGACTAGAATTTTTTTTTTAATTGCTTCTTCGGAGAAAAATATGTATCATGTCGAATCCGAGTAAATCGAAATCCTTGCGAATTAAGATCCGAGATCCCGTTCAACAGAGTGAGAAGCGGTTTGGTACTATGGGTATGGAACGCGAGAAGCTTGTAATATCGGGTGCAGAAATCGGATCTGCAGTAGGCGGTGCACAGATCGAGGGAAGAAATAGGGTTAATTGTGGCTTGGTTGAGGAGGACGGCTTGAGTCGTGCAGCCCCATGCCTTGTTATGGGAGAGGGTGAGCGCTTCGAGGGTGCAGCAAAGCTGAGCCGAGCCATCGAGTTGGGAGCGTGCACGATTTCCGAGGAGAGCAGAGAGAGATGTTGCTGAGGTGACGCGCGCGTCAGGCGCGTTGGTGGGGGGAGGAGAGAGAGGCGCGCGCGTCGGCTGATGGGGTGGGTGCGGGTGCACGCGCGCGCGCCATTGGTCCACTTGGCAGACATGAAGGGCGCATGGGTGGAGCTGTGCTAGGGCGACGCGCGCGCGCGTCTAGCGCGGAGGCCGAGGACGACGCGCGCGCGTGTCAATTGTCTGTGGCTACCGCGCATGGCAGCGCGTTGGGGGAGAGGGTGGGAGCGCGTGGGGGCGCGTCCGGGGAGGTTTCTCGGGCGCGTGAAGGCGCGTCGGGTCCCGTTTTTCGTCGCTCATCTCGGGATAATGATGTGCGCGCTGATGGGCGTTTAGGGGGAGTTGATCCTTTACATGGGAGGGGTCTTGGGTGGCGAGAAACCATTGATTCTTCGAGTGATGACGGAGGACCGAGTGTTAATGTTGTGGAGGAAGTGAATGGGGTTGGTACTAGTAGGCGTCGTTATGGACGTCAAGTCGTGGATTTTGGGAGCAATAGTGATAAGTCGAATTAGTTGCATTCTTCAAGTGAGCGTGCTGAGCCGAGTAAGGAAGTTGATCCGATTGTTGAAGTAGAAGAGGAAGATGATATTCCGCTGGGTGATGTTGAGATGGATACGATGAGGCAAAAGAAGATTAAGCCAATCAATTTTGACTTAGTTGATTTTGACAGTGTATTGACTGAAGAGCATTTGCAATCTATACGTCGATTAGTTGAAGGGCTCAAGGAATATTGAGTTGTTGTTGCCTCAGAAGGGCG